AACGAACCTTGTCCGGAGTCCTTAGTATGCGTAATAATTTCCAGAATAGGACTGCGGACTTGGTACATTCCCAGACGTTTCGCCGGCACCATAAGTGAACCTTACGAGTTTTAGCACCACACTACTGCTCGTCAAAGAGACGAGTGAAGTCGATCCTAGCACGAGAGTGGGGGTTGGGGTGTGATGTCTCATGAGATCCACTCAAAGGGGCATACCATAAGACATTTAAATAATCAAGGAATTGTGATAGTGAATAGGTGGTACGAGGATATAGGATAAGTGAATACTCCAGGACGAGAAATATTATGAATGTTTAGCAGACAAATGATCAATGGATCGACTTCACTTGTCTCTGACGAGCTGTAGTGGTGCTAAAGAATGGCAAGGCTCATTGACGATGCCAGAAACGTCTAGAAACGTACGAAGTCCACAGCTAGACGGGAGATTATCATGAATATTATTGACTCTGAACAAAGTGTGTTCCTCTAGGTCTTCTTGCAAATACGACTAAGTTAAGAAAACAAGGTCAAATAACTACAATACTATTAATAAATGAGTGGTTTAGGTGTTAGAGCATGCAAAATAAAGAATATTTGTTAATAAAGAGCTAAATAAGCCTTAACATAGTTTAAATCAATTACAAATAATTTTGAATAACGATTATAATATAATAAAATATCGTAGAAATAACATTCCAGCAAAATGTTTAACTGGTAACTGTAGAACGTTAAAAGCCTATGACCATCAAGCAATATTTATAATAGCACCTACCTCAATAGCAAAACCGCCAAACCTAGCAATACCGGGGCGTTGTACAAGATGAGCACCTTGACTAAATTCTTCTTGTCGTGCAGAAAGTTGGCCTATGGGATCTAAAGGGAGATTTTATTCAACAACTAGAAGAGGAATGCAAAATATTGATTATAGCCTGAGTAATATTAAAAAAGCATTAAATTGAGAACACGGATTTTAAAGACACTGCCTCATTTCAATTTTACTTATTAGAGTATCAAAGCTCACCACAAGGATCATCCAGCGTTGGTGCATTAGTTGAGGGCCCTGAAAATTGGCTTCGGTCGCGAGCAGGAACAGCACCACTAGGGGTCTCAGTTGTTTCCTGATAACGTACTCTCTGGAATAAATTAAAAGCAAGCAAATAGTCCAAATGACAGATGAAGTCATAAGAGAAAATACCACGCAATGAATTATATTGAGCACCTTAAATGGCTGGTCGTCTAAAACTTCACCGAGTCTTTGTTTACGACGACCCTTTTCTGTCTAAAAATAAAAACTAAAGTTATAATACCAAGGCGACTACAGCAGGATCTGTTGAAGTCTTGGGCTCTAAGGCAGTATTTTTATCCGCGTCAGGAGGCTCTCCTATTCCAGCTTCCTAAAATTCAGGATACAAACTAAACTACCTGAAAGGCCTTATTTCTCATTTTAGCTTTGATTTGATTTGTTGTCTTTGTTTCTATTATCTCCGAAATCTTAGCCAAATCATTTCCAAAGCGAATTATTGAATCTTTTAAAAGCTCAATTTCCCTATTAGACCACTTGCAAGACGGTTTGCTTTCCGTCTCATTTGTATGTGCCTGAGCTTGCTTTAATTCAAGAGTCAGATATGCAAGTTTTCCAAAAGCAAGGGCGGCATGATCAAAAATCTCAGCAACTTTCGTAGCATTTGCCATAGTTAGGTGGAACTAACAAATTACTTAAAACGAATAAATTAAATGCGTTTTGTTGCTAATTTTCAATCAATTTTGAAACTAAATTATTTAAATAAATTACAATTTTTATGAAACATAGATTCTTTTGAAAATAGTTTAACTCATAAATGTTTATTGAATTGCCAAATAGGTAGCATTATAACCTATTTATATAGCAAGTACCCCAATTTTTTTGGGAAATTTATATCTCATAGTTCCAAGCTGCCGAATTAACTAAAGCCGATTATGGTCGGTTAAAATATTAGAAATACTTATG